TTAGAGACAATCAAGAATCAATTAGAAAAATCAAGAGAAAAAGAGTAAAAAAAAAAGTAAAAAATTTAAAAAAAATTTATAGTCTTTTTTGGTGTTTTGAGTTTAAAAAATTAAGATTTTCTTTTGAGAGTTCTGTGTCGGCGAAAGAAGTTGGGAAGAAACACAATTACAAAGGCCTACGTGTTTTGAAATCAATTATGGCTCAATTTTTTGTATTTACTTTTTACTTTTTTTTCTTAAGTTCCAGTTATTTTTTAATTTTATCATAATTGTCTATTTATTTATTATTATTTATTTGACTAATTATGTATTTATTTGTTTGTAAATATTTTTTTTTAAAAAGAAAAAATTATTTTTAAATAAAATAAAAACAACCTTACCAATATATTGAAGGGTTAAAATTTTCTTAAAATAAATGTCTAAATAAAAAAATCTTACCAACATATTAAAAGATTTAAATTTTTAATAAATGGTTTTAATAAAACAAAAAACTTACCAACATAATGAAAGACAACTTAATTTTTAAATAAGGTTTAACCAACATATTGGAGAACCTTATTAACTTTTTTTATAAAAAAAAAAAAAAAAATTCAAAAGAAAAAAATAGTTTTCAATAAAACCTTACCAATATATTAAAAGGCAATTTGATTTTTAGGATAAAGTTTTACTAACATATTAGAAGATCTTATGATTTTTAAATATAAAAATTAATTTTTAGAAAAGAAATAATTTTCACAAAATCCTACTACCATATTGAAGGATAATTTTTAGTGAAAAATCTTACCAATATATTGAAGGATATTTATGAAAATAAAGAGTTTTAACAAAGTTAGATTTTGAATATCTGATAATGAAATCACTTAGAGCGTTGTAAGTATCAATCTCTATGTAAATTCGTAGGTGAGAAATTCTTTCTAAATTTTACAAACATATTGAAAAATTTAGAAAATATTTTCAATATTAAGATTTTAACAAAAATATTAATTATTACAAATAAAAGTTTTTTTTTACAAAAATTAAATAAATCCGATAACAGAATCTCTTTAAAGCATGACAAATAGTCTCCTTGAAGACTCTTAATGTGAGGGGATATTCTTGAATTATTACCAATATATTCGAGTAATTTAGGGATAATTTTCGATGTTAAATTACTTGGTAAGTTTTTTTTAGGTTTTCAGATAACACGAAATCAAGCTGGTACCATTTTTTGGATGGACGATGTATAAGTGCTATAACTTTTCTTACACGTAATCGTACTTTTGAATCTAGTTCTAGTTTCATAAACATGAATCTATCTTTTAAAGATACTTAAGTCAACCTTGGGACTTCTCTTTAAAATGTGATAGATTTAGTTAGGTGACCAATCTCATCTAGACAAAAAAAATATTGGTGGCGACTCTTAAAGTTAGGTATAGCGATAGCTTTAGGGATCTATATGTTATAACAATATGTATATGTAATTATTTCAACACAAAAATTCGAATCCAATTTTTTGAATAATGAAATACATGCATTTATTTTTAAACTAAATTCGGACTATATTTGAGATTATTATATATGTCTATTTGCATTTTTCCATTTTTTTCATATTTCTTTACTACAAGTTATCATCATAGCGAATGGTATTTATTTTGATCAATATTCAATGAAAATTTTTATTATATGAAAAATAAAACATTTTAAACAATAGTATGTGAAATTTGCATAAGAATATATAGTTTCACAATAAAATTACTTGGTATACATGTTGGGTTTTACCTTGAATCTCATAATCTTATATCGAAAGTTATATAAAGTTATAAGAGTTTGAGTTTGTTTTGTATCTCACATCGAGAATTTAGTAAAAGTATAAAGGGTTTCACCTTTATAAATAAGATATTTTAATTTTAATTTGATAATCTTAGATAGTTAGACACTAAAAGAATAAGAGAGTAGGCTGTTAAAAAGGTGTAATTGGGTTTGAAGTTAAGTTTTGAGTAAGAAATTTTTGGTGACTTTTCTCATTCTAAAAATCTTGTAGTTGTAAAGATTTATTTATTAGTGAATTGAGTTTAAAGTAGGTCATTTTAGATTAGATCGAAACAAATATATTTGTATGTTCTTATTCTTGATTTGAGCTTGGTATTTTATGTGTGAGTATGTGCTAATTTCCCAAAAAATGGTATTAGAACGAGTTTTGTGGAAAGAAGAGGTAGGCCCAAGAGATCATGAAGCAAGTATTTCAAAGTATCTGAAGAAAGTATGTCTAGTATGCTTATGCTCAAGTTTGAGATTCTTTTATTTGATAAAATGAGTAATTTTATGTTATGACAAAGTATAATTTAAGATCTAGTAGTAAAATAGGGGTTTGATTAGGTATTAAAAAGTAGTAAGCTTAAGAGAATATTTTACAGTAATTCGAATAGAATTAAAAAAAAAAAAAGCTATTAGTACTATTATATTGGTGCTAGGTCTAGAGAAAAAGTACAATAAATTGATTGAGAGTACTCCGAAGAGTTTATGGGATAAACTTAAAGGTATTTATGCATTGAAGTCATTAATTAACAGATTATATTTGAAAATATATCTATATTCTTTGAAAATTAAAAAAAAAAAGTACGAGTCTTCATAATCACTTGAATGAGTTTGATAGGTTGGTTTCTCAATTGCTGACAAATTCTGTTGATGAGTTAGAAGATGAAGAGAAGGCTTTAATTTTGTTATCATCTTTGCCCAAGTCCAATAAACTTTTAGTTCAGACTTTATTGTTGGATGGTCTATTTTGAAGTTGGATGATGTGACTACTCTATTGTGTGAGAACGAAAAGGTTTATGAAAACACAGAACTCATCACCTAGAGGGACTACACTAGCTATAGAAGGTTTTGATTGAGAGAGGACTCAAAAAAAGATTAATAGATCAAGAAGGATATCCAAGTCAAGAGATAGAGATTACAATAACATAAAATATTATTATTGTGGTGAAAAAAGACATATCCAAGTGCGTTACAAAAAGTTAAGAAAAGATGTGACTATTTTCAAAAGGTCAAATAATGAGAAGAAATCGAATGAAAGAAAGAGTGATACTATTACTGTTGTGTCTGATGATGATAAGGTTATTTTGATGACTTGTGTGGATGAGATTCAGACTTTGAAAGGTGTTAAAGGTTGAGTTTTAGATTCAGCTGCTATAGTCCATGTCTGCAATGATAGTAATTGCTTTGTGAAGTTAAAATAGAATAAAAAGTATAGGGATATTGTGATTATCAACAATAAAATGGTACAAATTCAAGGCATTGGAAGTGTTCGCCTAAGATATCATAATGGTGTTGATAGGATGTTTCATCATGTAAGGTATGTACTAAGTTGTAGCTACAATTTAATTGCTTTGGGTAAATTAATTTTTCAGAGGTACACATATTATGATAGTAATGATTGGTTGAAAGTGTACAAGAATAGTAGTGTGATTTTACAAGGAAATAAGGTCAAAAATCACTTGTACATGCTTGATTCAGACTCAATTACCGGGATTCCTATGACAAAAGAAAAGAAGAAAGACAAACGTGTCAGCTTTACAAATACTATTAAAGTGTTTAAAGATTCAAGTCAAAAAAGAATTTGTTAGGGTTTGCTTTGAATCTCATAATCCATATCCAAAGTTAAGTGAAGTTGTCAGAGTTTGAGTTTGTCTTGTATTCCACATCGAGAGTTTAGTAAAGGTATAAGGGGTTTCACCTTTATAAATAAGATGTTTTGGTTTTAGTTTGATAATTTCACATAATTAGATATCAAGAGAATAACTAAGTGATTAGGCTATTAAAATGATGTAATTAGGTTTTGGATTAAATTTTAAGTAAAACGTTTTTGATGACTTAACAATACAAATAAGGGTAATAAAAAAATTAGGCAAATATGTTAAAATTATATGGAAAGTGAAAAGAAACAAATTGATAAAGATAAAATATCATTTTTAATTAATATGAATTAATTTTTTCTGCCATTTAAAGAATTATTTTATCTTTTGGATGATAGTCAAACTGCATAGAGTTTCTTATCTCTTCAAATTGTCTTCCCCATATGAGGCAACCCTTTTTATATGGCACCTTTTGTCTTTTTACCTTTTTTTTTCCGTACTCTTTCATGGAACAACCTAAAATACATAATAAATATTATTGTTAAAATTTTTTGTAAATGTGCACGGCCAATTTATTAAAGTTTTGATTTATAAAACGAGGTGATAGATTTAAATTTAAGAGAAACATGCAGATAAATTTAGAATAAAAAATTTTAAAAAAAATCAAAAATTGATTTTAACATATCAAATTTTTTATTTGATTCTTATTAAGTTTAGATATTAAATATATATATATTAAGTTTAAATCGGATTTTGAATTAAAAAAAATCAAATTGTATATTTTTATTAGTTTTTATACATATTTTAAATTTTTATAAAATAAAATTAACTATTTTATATTTAAAATTATTTAAATATATTAAAATAATATATAAAATTTTAAAAAAAATTAAAAATTAATGAACCTTTTCTTCTCAAATGTTTCAACAAAGCCTAAAATTGGTGCGATTAGCTTTGTATTTGATCTGCACTAAAGAAAAATCAAAATTAAAATTTTCACGAGCTTAATTATAAGAGATTCTGCGTTAATGATAGAGTAATTAATATAAGACATCAATATTTCCGCCGCGGATAATTATAACGAATGTACATCTACTATAAAATCCTAAATATTTTTAGAATTCAGTATGTAATGTTTAGAAATATAGGATTTCAATTGCAAAATTACTATATATATATATATATATAAGACCAATGGTGTTATTAACTTTTTATTATTATTTAAAATTGTTAGAAATTGAAACTAAATTACTAAATTAAAATTTTAAAACTTTATCAACATATCGTCTTATTGTAGGCTGGTGTTGTTAATATTATCCCAAGGATAGCTTTTTTATATATTGGACAAGAAACACATTATAGTACAAATTATTACATTATTTCATACCTTATTAGAATAATACAAAGACAAAAACAAACATACAAAATAACATATATATACATATATATATATGTATATATAACAGCATCAAATGCAACAGCAAATTAATTTGGAGTTCTACTTCTTTTTCAAGACATGGATTTTCTCCACTTGGGAGGAGTCCTACCTCGAACAAGCTTTGCTTTCATATCCATGGGTGTTTGCCTGCCAAAACTAACATCTCCTTCTCCTCCTTCTTCAATCTTCTCAAAAACGCTCACGCTACTCTTAAACGAAGGCATGATTCCAAGCTTCCTCCACCTGAAAAACCCTTTCTTCTTATCCATTATTTTCTCCATTTGCATTTGCAAGGCAAGGCATTGGCTTTGGACCTTGAGCAGGTCTTCTTTTAGCTTCTTTATCTCCATTTGTTGAGCGTTCATTTCACGTTTAGACAGGCAGCGAGCTGGGGGTTCGAGTCCCGGGTTCGGACTCCTTGTTCCACTAAACGAACCACTCCAATCTACATGTCGGTTGAGCTTGGATTGTTCCGAGAATAACACTTGAATTACAGCTCGAACAGGTAAACGTTCATTTTGAGCTGCGTGGAGGGATGCTTCCGGTGAGAGTTTTCGGCTGTCTATTAATCTGCAAAGAACCTTCCTATCTTGCTTTGAGACACCAGGGTGTGCCTGAAACAATGTAATGTCTTCTTAATTCAAATAGTTGAAAAAAATATGACAGGGCAAGTAATTAGCATGACTAGTTATTTTAATGAAGATGTATGAATAACATAAACCCCAAATTGACACTTAAGACGGTGTAGTTGGTAAGACAAGACAAGGTTTCATCATGAATTGTAGCCCCTAAATTGCATGCCAAAACAGTCCAAAGTTGGAAATGTTTTGCATTACACGTTAGCTTTCACGAGATTACAGAACTAAACAACAGAAAATCCAACTCAAAGCCATGGTAGGTTTCCACTAAAGATAAAGGTCATCCATGTAATTATAGAACCTTGGTCACCTAACACTTAAAATTCTGTTGAGGAATCTTTTGCTGGTGACTACTCATCAACAACCTCTATCTTTCTAGGGGCCCATATGGCCTTATTCTGTCCCTAATCTTTTTCTTGTCCAATTCGCTCCCCCTAATTCCTCCCTAATTTCTGGTAGCTAGATATACCAAAATCATAAACGTTTGTCACAAATATGCTTTGAATCCTCAACTCCTATGATGTTTTTGAACTATGGATAATTTAATTAAGCAGTCGAAATTTACTGATTTAAATTGTGTTTTGGACCAATCAACAGCTGGGACTAAAATAGATATCAGAATTGGAAATAATATGAACTTACTTTCATATAAGTGTCAATGGCACGGTAGAGGCCATCATCCATGGCACGGGCATGGCCAGGAAGAGCTCCAGCAAGTGCAATAAACTCATCCAAACTCAAATTGGTATCCAGGGCTGCTTCTGCTAAGTAGCAATCCACAAGCTTGGCTACTTTAACCAAAGCAACACCACTTCTAGCTCCTTCATCCAGGCTAGCAAATCTCTTAACCAACCTTGTAACAAGCTCGACATCTAACAGAGTGCCACAAGTGTGACTAAACGACGGAATCATGAGCTCTTTCAGTGAAGCTTGGTCAAGCTGCCAAGAAATCCTTTTCTCGAGCTCAGCCCTATAGGTAGGCTCTACGCCGACCATGTTGGCTGTCCGAAGAAGGCGTAAAAGGAAGTTGCAATGAATGGAATCTCTCTCAGGAGGCAGAATTCCCACCAAGGTTTCAACAAAGAATCTCTTTTTCATCCATGAAGCTGTAACAGTCTCCGGTGATGACTCTTCAAAATTCGTAGGACCCTTTCCGGCGTCATCGCTGGATAGGTCAGGTAGCCATTTTGATGCATAATGCGCTATGATTGAGCCTATTAAGTCAGGACGGACCCCCTTGGCCTTAATGCCTGAGATGGTCTTGACAAAGTAGTCCATATCCAGGATACATGCATCGTCAAACCAGCATTCAGCTGTGGATTGGGTTGGTTTTCCAGGAAATGTGATAGAATCTTGCAAGGCCAGCTTCTTCATCATGGCTTTAACAGTACACACAAGAGAGAATTGAGGGGAAGCAGTACCTTTATGCAGCGATGTAATTTGAGAAGAATTTCATTTTAGATTTACCTGTGGAAGATAAAAGCAAACGTGGACAGTAATGGGTCCTACGCAACATGGCCTTGAGTAGAATATGCCAGGAAAACTGACTAAAATACCCTTGAAACTTTTGTCGGTTGGAGAGGAAAAAGCAATAGATAACACTGGTCTTTTTGGGGAAAAGAATTGTACCTGATGGGAAAAGTGATATTTGAGGATTGAGATCGAGGGTTTTCTATCTCCAGCCGTTGGGAGGCTGAGGTGAAGGTGAAGATGGCTAAGAGAGGGAGAGAGTGAAGACAAGTTCCTTTAAATGCTAAAATATTCCATTTAGTGACACCACACGAACTTATTCCCTGGTTCAGCATGAGGAAAACAAAGTTAATTATGATCACCACGTTACAGTGAAAGTGACTTGAAACTGATATCTCTCCCTCTCTCTTCCATGGTGTTTTGGGTTGCAGCTGGATCGCCACGCGCTCTACATGACATCAAAGCCTATACAAAATCCGAACCTTCCTACTTTCTACCTCGCTGTCATCCCAATGTAAAGCATAGAATTGAGCAATTTGTCCAACTAATTAGAAAACCAAAAGCCCCGAATTAATAGGAGATTTTGTTTTCAGTAGTGGATGAGAGACCTGACAGATTTTTCTGACAAATCCTTAAAGTTGGATATTTGGTGATGATCATGATTGTGAGGAAAGGTACAGCTGTAAATAAAATTTTCACTTGGAATATCATGAGAATCAGAGAATCCATTGGGTCATTATATATTTCCTAATCAGAATGATTAAGCAGCCTATATAAAGTCAAGGGGAGGACCAAAAGCAAAGAACCTTTTGCTCAGAAATGTACATATGATGAGACATATATAAGACAACGACCTAAGCTTTGTATACTTTTGTATTGCTACAGAGAACACGTGAACCTTTGTTTTTTCCAGGTTGATTCTCGAGTAGTCGAAAACTGTAAAGCAATGCCAATGAGCATAGTCTTTTGATTTTTTAGCTTAGTGGTAAGGAAATCTTAAATAAAACATTTGAGTTTAGGATCGAATCAAAAAAAAATTTCTTATGTAATAGGATGCTGCTTTCTTTTAAAAAAAAAAAAAACCAATGTGTGTAACTTCTCTCAGCCTTCCGTCAGCAGTACCGTCTGGGCCTAACAAATAAATCTTGGGCCTAAATCCTGCATTTGTGACGTTGCTGACGCCAACCACACCGGCCTTTCCCGGATAAAGCTCATGAAACCATAAAATACGGGACACATATTTGAAGATAAGAAGAGTTGCTGAGTTGGGCTTTCCATTTCAAAGACGTGAAATGGAAGCGTTTTTATGCATGTACCATATATAAACAATTTTAATAAGCAATATTCATAAAGAATTTAGATCAAAAAAGGGTTTTGCTTGATGTGATTCCAAATGCAATTCTACAGGATACAGTAACTAAACAAACAATAAGCTCAACATGAGGAAAAGATAAGAGTTAAAAAAAAAAAAAACAAAGGTCAAAAGAAGCATTTTAGCTTTTAGCTATTATTCTTTCTATAAATAGAAGTAAATTCTAGAGCCAACATTCACCTAGCATTGCTTCTTTTCAGCTTCTTATTCTTCCTGTTCCACAACAAATGGAAGAATTATTTTCTAGATGCTGCTTGGAGTTGATGTTTGAGATGCACTTCCGGTCGAGTCACCTGCTGCCGGGTTTAGTGATGAACCACTTGCAAGAGAGCCGTTTCCACTTTCAGACACAACTGGGATCTTAACAGCTGCTCTTTCCATCTCCTTCTCAAGTTCTTCTTCCTTGCGCAATGCTGTGAATTGGGTATCCAAAGACTTGGCTGCTGCTAGCCATGCAAGAACAATCACCATAAGTATCCCTCCAAGGTATGGGGTTGAATTCGCAAGTGATCCAAAGGTCAAGATCATAAACTGCTGAATCAGAGCACCCCCTGACTTCCCCAGTGGATTGCAGACAACATCAATGGCTGCCTTCCCTTTAACCTATACATAGTATCAAATAGGTCCTAAGTAAATGACCAGAAGTTACACAAAATTTTGGAAGTTCAAATTGTGAGTAAAGATTCCAAACCTTGGTGTCCTCATCCAGAGGAATATATGCCATTTCTTTGCAAGGATCAAATAAACTGTACTTTGCACTCTTGCTGAAAATGTTTTGCATGGCACCCACATATACAGCTGCAAGAAGAGGAGTCATACCAAACTTTGCAAGAGCCGGACCAAGTGGATCACCAGCTAATATCAAGGAGAAGAAACCAACTCCAGTCAGAAGCAGGACAGTGGGAGTAATTCCAGCTGCAACTCCCCATCCGTATTTGTCGAATATAAATTGACTTAGTAGCATCATAGTAAATGTCGCTATTCCAGTGGCAGTTGAGAAGTCACCCATGAAGGAGGAGTATTCATTCGGGCTTGGGAACTGCAATATGGAGAGAGAATCATTACTTACTGAGCCAGTTTAGGTAAAAAAAAAAAAAAGCAAATAAATATAGAAGCAGAAAAATAACCATATAATTTTACCTGAGCTTTGAGCTTCGATTTCCAGGTAACTTCAACAAGGTTGATGCTAATACCATAAGCAACCACCAAAGTAGCAAGATCCCTAATGTACCTTGAAGACACCAAGAATTTCAAGCTCTCCATTGTTCCCATTTTAGGCTTTTCCTGCAAACAGATTGACAACAAAATGAAAAATGGCTTCATTTATGTTTTGACCTCACAACTTCACTCTGCATGCATACACAATATATGCATGAAGAACTCTCCTATTTGTGAAATGATACAAGTGCAGATATAAATTATCCAAACAAACAATAGATGTAGAACAATTCTAGAATAAGCTGCAAACTTTTTCCCAGCATAATGGAAGAGCTATTCGTGCAGTCAAAAGCAAATCTAGCTTCTCTGCCACATGTTAAGAACTTATGTGCAATGTTAAGAAAAAAGGGTAATTGGTACCATGGTCCATAACAAATACAATGGAATGACTGAAAGTGACTGAATTATGAAAAGTAACTCTTTCACTCACAATTTAATAGCAATCACAGGACACTTAATGAAAAGTTTTTTTTTTTTTTTTTTACTCATAATATCTCAACAACTCATAAGATTTTACTATCAGTTGTAGACTTGAAACAAATAAACATTTAAAACCAAATAAGCAGATCCTGGAGCCTAAGAATCTATGAAAACAAATATGATAAACATGAAGAGTAGCTTGACAATGAATTACCTTCTTCTTCTTGCTACGTGTGGGAAGAGGTACAAACTTATTCACCCACCAGTAAACGAAACAGATAGCAAGTCCCATCAGCACCACAATGCTCATCATTCCCTTTAAGGAGATGGCCCAACCATCAACTCCAGGACCCAGATTTTTCCTCAAATTAGAAAAGTACTTAACAGTTCGACCAGAGAAAATGAGGGCAATATTAGCTCCAAGCCCAAACAGAGGATAGAATCTTTTTGCTTCCTCTACAGTAGTTATCTGCACAAGAAAAATGCAACAGTAGGTAAATACAGCTTTAATTCTCAAAATTGGGTGAAGATATCAAAGATGCGACTAATGCAGAAAAACTAGAGAAAATGCCCCGAACGAAAGCACCGAAAATACAAGTAATAAATTCCAATTAAACATGCAAAGCAAATGCCAGAATCCAGCTTGCTTGAAATCTGTATAAATGAACAAACACGGTGCAAATTCAAATAAGATATTGAAAGTTTATATTTTTCATAGTAGTCAATTATCTTCTTTTTATCATTTCTCTTTTGCTTCACACATACACCCAGAAATGGTGGAAGAGAGATTATGTCAACCAAGAATTACAACTCAAATAGAGGATATATGAAATTTCAGCTGAGATAAGTTTCTTATTTCTCTCATGTATCTCTGGAACTTTCTTTTTCAGCTCCCTATAAGTTTGATCACCAGTATTAGCAAACAAAGAATGGTCCAGCAAGTAGAATTTTTAAATCAAAGATGGAATAAGTTTCGAATCCATACTTTTTTTTTTTCATTGAAAGATCAAACAGAGAGAAAATTTCCTAAGAAAGCAACATGCTAGAAAATGGAGAAAGAACATGAATTTCAATACGGAATACAAAGGAGCATGAACTTCAATGTCCACAACTTTGTCTGAATAAAATAAGCATGCTTATTGTCCATAATCTCTTTTTATAACCAATGCCCAACTATACAAGCAAAACATTTAGATCACCTTTTCTTGTCTGAATCAGTAAGCAAAAATTAAATAGCATAATGGCATTCATGAAACAACTTTTAGAACATTGATGATGTACAAATAAAAAGTAATCAGAACTAATGTAAAGAAGCAAAACCATTGATGCAAACATTCCATTGGACAGGCTAACTAGTTTTGAAAAATGGAAAGCGAGAAAAATCTATCGCTTGTGGTTACCTATAGATGAAGAACACAAGCAATTATAAACAACAATTTCAAATCTAGCTGATGCCTACATATGCAGTCATATTGGCAAAAGCATTAGCCAATAGAACAGAAAAAGAGAACTTGATGACCGAGACTAGATAATCTAACAAGTTCAAATTACCCAGCTTACGGGATAGGAGTTACAAGTAATATCCAGCTTAAGATCTGCTTCTTAAGGGAAACAAAAAAAAAAAAAAAAAGAATATTCCCAACATATCAGATTTACAAATTTTAATTAAAAGCACTAATTTCTGACACAAGAATCAAAATACATAAAAACCAACATGCTTATGCAATCATGCAGAAAAATCACTTCCATGATTCAATCTCATAAGACAGTATAAATCACCTGATTGGCAAACCCCCAAAATAGAACGGAAATAACCACACTGCCCCAAAGTTCAGCCATGACATAGAACAGACAGAAACTCCAAATCCTCAAAATTGCGAGAGGACCAAGAAATCTAGGTCCAAGAACTGCAAGAAGCTTATCAGCAAGTGCTTCAGGGTGGATGTAATTGCTGAGAGGATACAAGAGGAATCCAAATGCACCAAAAAAGGCTATAAAAGGAACAATAACAGTGTAGAAAAGAGCCTTCTTTGATAAGACATTAGCCAGCTTTGTGTATAACAACATGAACCCAACAGCCATAGGCAAATTAACCCACGTCTTTAAAAATGGTATAATTTCTGCACTGCTTCCTTTAGCTGTCACAACCAAGACATCCTTTGTATCCCTAAGGATTGTGTAATTGAAAAGGATACAAAAGAACATTAACCCAAGTGGGACAATCTTCTTGAGAGTCACAAGATCTATACCCAATAACTTTGGCGTCTGAGGTTCACCAAACAAAGGCTGTCCATCAGCTGCAGCAGCAGCCTCAGCCTTGCAAATAAAGTTTTTCCCTCTTGGGGACAAACCATTTGGTTTTGCAACAACGCTTGTAACTCTTTTATAAGATAGAGATAACCCATTAGGGCCTAAGGATTTTGAAGCAAAAAGCCTCTGCTTTAAGCCTTGTGATGGGTTCAAAAGGCTTCTGACTCTGGTCGGATTTGGTGGCAATGAAAGAAGCCCTCTGGTTTGTAAAACAGCTGCCATGTCTCTCTTAAGGTTCCTTCAAAAGAATTGTGAAATCAAATCCCCAAAAAAGCCTTGAATTTTTTTAGAACATAATAGATAAGCAGAGAAAAAAAAGGAAGGAAGATAGAGAGATAAGGTAGCTGGCAGGAAGCCTAGAGAAGCTTGTTTTCCCAAAGAACGAAATGGGTACGAAAAAAATACCCCTTTTATATCAAATGAACATAAAACCAAACCCTCAGAAAAAACCAAAACTTTTTTAATCAAAGC